TCATCAGTTATTCTTTTTCAGAAGCTAACTGGTACTAGGGAGGGGATGGAATGGATCAGAAGAAAGACTAGTGCAAAGAGTCCACAGCATAGCTTGAGAATGGTCTTCGTAAAGTAATACAGTGAGAGAATTGGGCAGACGTGTGGGCCATTCCTGAGTCAGCACCAGCAGATGTGCTCAGGCAAGTGGAGGCAGCGGAGGAGTTAGTGATAACTTCTAACTCCCGTAATACCTGACACAGAATGGGAGGTGAATATTCATCTGTTGAAATAAATAAGTGACTGAATGCATAGAATTTTCGTTCCTATAAACCTCAGGAAAGAAAGGAAATTTTTTATCTGTACAGGATAGAAGTTTGTGGTTGAGTGCAGCAATCACCCTAATCCTGCACTCCTTTTTGTCATGTTACTCCGCGGTGGCCTCCCGCTGTAGGTGGCATGATCTGCTTCATTCTTTGACAGCGGCTACAGCCAAGTGATTGGCTTTAGCCAAGACGGAGTCACACAGAAATTTGAACAAGTACTTTCTGCTTGCTCTCTTAGACTTGCGCTGTCACCTGAAGCTGATGGAGGGTAGAGACTTATAAAGTTGAGTTGTCCCGGTGACCTTAGCTGAGACCATTCTAGATCGGCTGTTAGTGAAACCAGCCAAGCTCAAGAAGAGCCACTTAACCAATCCTTGACTGCTTGTAACTTTGTGAGAAATAATAAATAGTTAGTGTTTTCAGCTTCCAATTTTGGGGTGGTTTATTATGCAGCAAAGCTAAGTGATAGAGAAGTTCTAATTCTCTGATTAAATTATTTTATTTGGTTTTTCTATTTATTAGTATTCTATTTGATAAAAGGAATTATCTAATTACTGAAGTATATTTACTGAAGTACAAAGTGTCTCATATTTCTAAGATTTTATGAACCACAGTAAGAGACAAAAAAATGTAGGTTCCTCCATTTCCTAATGTCTTAATTATAGACATTCATTTATTCAACTATATCCACAGTACTAGAAATACAAAAAATATGCTCTTAGGAAATCAGTCATAATTTAGGGGAAAAATGATTTGCATCCAATGCAATAAGTAATAGGAAGTATTTATTACAACCGTGATCTCTGAAGCAAAATAACCTGAGTTTAAAATCTTGCCTCTGTCACTTCCTAGCTGGGTGCCCTTGCTTAACCTCAGTTCCATTTTCATTATCTATAAAATGGGATGATAATTGTACCTATTTCCTAAAATTTTGGGGAGGAATTGCCTGCATTGACATCTATAGCATACTTAGAACGCTACTTGGCACTCGTAAGCTATCACTAAGTGCTAGTTAGTATTTAAAATTTTTAGAAGCATGAGGACATAGAAAAGTAAGACGATATAGGATGGAAGTAGGAGAGGGTAGTAGAAGAGATACTTTAAAAACAACATAAATTTGCAAATCTACTGGGACTTGAGTATCTTCATCTATATTTCAACGAACAAACCATAGATGACTATTAGGATATCTTCTGATTCTGAGATACAACATTCTTGGAATATTGCCTAACATGACATGTAGGGAGTTCCCACTAAATATGGCATTTGATTATTGAAGTAGTTTAAGTAGTTTTCAAAGAAAGTTGGTCTAATGAAGGTAATCTACATGCTTTTCATTACGTGTGACTGTAGAGGCAAGCTTGATACAATTATCCCACAGGACATTCTGGTCCCTTTTAATAGTATTGGAAGCAAAAGGGGACTATCTCTTCCCAGAAGCTGTAACATAAAGACTCAAATCTTAAGTATGTGTTGTGCTTGAATAGAGCAGCCTACAGCCTGTTAAATCAAATTAATTAACGCAGTAGATGCATCCACAGCTTCTCTGTGTTTAAAGCAAAGTTACTGAGTTCATTCTGTTTGCCAGTCTGTATTTCTGAGTACAGGATGCTGTCCTCTGCTGTTTGCTAAAGATTACACCAGGTAGAGCCATCAGCACACAGTGAAACAACATGATTTTTTTTCCCCACCCAGATGCCTGCAAATCAGGAATGGAGATGAACAAGAATTCTCTCTGTCTGTAGGACAAACTGCCATGTGAGCTCTGCACCCCTCTCCTCCCAAGTCATCTCATTTTAATGGCGTCTCTCCTGTCCACACTTCTGGTAACTAAATGGGCTAACTGGAAATGTGACAACCTGACCAATCCATTACTCTTTGAGCAATTATTTCTTCTAAAAGCGCTTTTATAAAGAATTTTACTTGAACACATACGCTGTCATTGTTGACAGTATGTGGCAGCTCCTACTGAATAAATATCTATATTTATGTCATTATTCAACTATTTAGTTCGCATGCACATTTGTGTGACAGTTAGCTTGTTGACTGCTTCTTTCAGTTCTCTTTGAGTAAGGTCATTCAGTGACACATGTGGCAATTCCACTTCCCCCACAGGGTTACAAATTCACCTCTGGGATTCAGTGCTGATAATGACAGCCTGCATGCTTATGACTGTCTCAGATGCTTCCCAAACCTAGAAACTGTAGCAAAAGCAGAAGAATTGAAATTGAGTGGATCTGGGTTCAAGACTTGTCTGTGTCATTTACTAAGTATGTGGCTTTAGTGTCACCTTCACCATCTTTAAAAGCTTTTAGAGTTTTAAATTAGATGATGTATATGAGAAGTCAGCCAAAAAAAAAAAAAAGAAAGAAAGAAAAAGAAACCATGCCATATGGATGCCCAATAATCACTGATTGAGTCTGAATCAAAAAAATGAAAGTCCAGTGCCAATGCAAGGTCATATAGCATGAATGGGTAACTGATGTGGGAAATGCAGTTGTAGCTGCTGAGTGGAGAGGTACCCAGGAATGGGAAGACTCTCCTTTTTCTTTCTGGTTAAATAGCACTGATCCTTCACTGCTGCTTTGTTTGATAGATTAATTCATTCTGAAAGGCTTTAAAGATGTTGGGTAGGTAACTAATAATCAGCTTTGAAAAACAAATCATTGGCCTTTCCCTTGCGTCAAAGTCCGTAAAAAGAAAATTTTCATTTCAAATGACTTATAGCTTACTTCAGAACCAGAAGGTGGACTCCTTTGAAGCTATCTAGAGCAGCTAGTGAGAGCAGTCTTTCATGGTTTATTAGTTGATAAACTGTAATTGGCATTTAAGGGTAAAGGCTTCAAAAGACAAATTAGACTTATAGTCAACTGCCCACTAGTGTTTTGAATTAATCAATACAGCATTCACATAAAACTAGGAGCAATGCCATTACCCCTGAACAAATTCACATTCTGATGCAAAAAAAACAGAGAAATTATAATAAATCACAATCCATGTGTAAAGAAAGGCCTTTCCTTTTGCAGGTGCTGACATCTGAAATACAGATTAGAGTATGAGCTTAGTACCCATGAAACATATAGATGTAATTCTTTTTATTTTTTAAACTCTAAGTGAGAAAAATATCCATGTACTATAATGGGAACAGGAAAAATAAAATAAAAGAACGTTTAGTGTGAACTTGGATATACCTCTAATGTTCCGTTAGGAAAATTTTTCTCCCTTTTGTTGAAAGTCACTTCATTATGGTTTGTAATGTAAACACTCAGATCTTAAGTATATAATATGCTTTAACAGAGTAGCCTATAGCCTGTTCGAAATTGTTTTCAAACCAAGTACATACTCTGACGTCTCAAAAGTAAACCGGCACAAAGATCATTGATTAGGCAACTTGAAACAGAAATATTTATTTGCCTTCTTCCCCCAACCTATATAGTGTTTTATTTGAATTATCATTCCTAATTTTATCCATTTCATATCTCAAGGTCACATACCTGAATGGTATAAAATGAGAGACTATAGGTTACAGAAGAGGCTGCATGCCAGCTGGGCAGTGGAGAAAGAAGCTAACATAGAAACATTATTAATAATATCATTATGTGGACCTCTTCATCTTTCTAAGACTCAGTGAAGCTGAAATGTGCCACCCGCCCCACCCACCCCCAATATGAATTGATGGAAAAGTCCACAACCGGGAGCGAGGAATGCTGAAATTGAGTTGTCAAACTGTCCTGGATGTCTTGTACAAACTGAACAGGCCAATTTACTGCAACACTGCATAGGCTGAAGGCTCCTATCTTGCCTTCGCAGGGTTTCTTCCTGGTGAGATTACCCTGCTGGACCACAGGCTCCCACCCTGGCAGATTCCTTCTGACTAGTCCATCCTAGGTAATGGTACTGTGTTAACCCTTACCTTGTGCTCAGCCCGCTTGCCTAGGGAGGGAAGAGGCTCACGTCCAGCTATCTGAAAGCAACAGCTTTGGGGGTTTGTTGTTTTTGAATCCTAGTGGTGACTTGATATCTATGTCTTCCCCCTCTGTAGCTCCAACTCCCGGCTTTCAGGATGAAAACAGGCAGGATTTTAGAAAAAAATTGACAACTTCTCCCACACAGTGCCTGAGTTTCTCTGCCTATGACTAACCTCCGAGCGTGGCGGTTGCTTTGCACGGCAGCTGTTCTGCCTCTGCCCTCCAGGTGGCAGCGGTGCCACGCTGCAGAGGCTCCAATCCCGGCTTCCCCGACTTCAAGTGTTAATGCAATTGACCAATCAGTGCTCAGATGATGGGAGGTAATTGGGTAATTGTATTTTACTGATCACAAGCAGGGAAAGGGAAAGGGAAAGGGGGAAGAAAGAGGGGCAGAGGAGGGAAGGGGGACCGCCGTCTGAGAGGAGATTTGGGGAGCTGGGACCCAAACCGTTGGGACGTGGCATTGGCCGAGAGAAAGGGGCTGCCGCCGGCACTGGGAGCGCACTCATCATTTGGGGCGGGGGAAGTGGGGGAGAGAGGAGCGGGCTGGGGAGGAAGAGAGTCCCAGCCGAAGTGGATGGAAGGGGACCGGGGTTTCTGCCGCGCTGGGAGCCGCGAGCCGGGGCGATGGCGCTAAGGACGGCGCGGAGCAGCTGCGCTCCGGGGAACGCGTCTCCTCGAGGAGGACTAGCCGGCGTCGGGAAGGTCTGCGCGAAGAGGAACCAACTTGTGGCTCCAAAATGTACCCCACGCAGCTGGAAATGAGATCAAAGCTGCAGTTTCATTCGAGAAGGATGAGAGGAGTCAGCGACTAGGGTTTTTTTTTTTTAACCTCCTTCGTTCCATTTTCTATTTTCTATCTTCTTTCCTTATTATTATTATTTTCATTTGCCTAACATCCCGTCGAGCCCCTGATTTCGCCCTCCCCATTTGAAATAAAAGCCCAGTTTGAACTCCCTTCGTCGCGGCGCCCCCCGGATCCGCCGCCCGCTGATGGAGGAGAAGGGGACCCGGGGGCTGGCAGGGGCCACCGGCGAAGGACCGCGTCACGCGTCTCCCCCGTGATCCCGGCCCGGATCGCGGAGTTCTGCAACACCTGGAGGAGCTGAACCGGGTGCCGGGGTGGGGCGGGGACAGAGGAAGCGAAAGCCACCCCGAGCCTTAAAAAAAAAAAAAGTAAGAGGGGGAGGAATGGGTTTCTTCTTGACAGCTGACGGAGCCTTGAAATTTTCCTCCACTGCCTCCCGCCCCCGCCCCCGCCCCCGCCCCCCGCACTCCATTTAACGTGAGATTATGAAATTGCAGAGGCGGTGGAGAGAAGAAGGAGACAGGATATAACAGAGAGTTTGGAGGGAGAGGGGAAGGTGGCTGGCCGGGTGGCTGAAATCAAAAATCCAATTGCGCACTGGGTTGTGATGAGAAATCTAATCAGATCTTTGGAGACGGGGCCGGCCGGAAGGGTGGCGAGTGGGGGGAGTTGATCCCCAAATTCTTCGAGGGGCGGGGGTGCTGGGAAGAGGCATCGGCGATGTAAAAGGAGTACTTTTTTTTTTTTTTTTGGTGGCGGTGGCGGTTGGGTGCGTTGCAAAAATGAAGGATGCGGGACGCAGCTCTCTCTTGGAACCGAACGCAGTGGATAAACTGATTGTGCAAGAGAGAAGGAAGAACGAAGCTGTTTCTTGTGAGACCTGGATCTTAGCACAAATGAGTATGTGTGCACACAGGGAGCGTTGAGAAATGAAATAAACCAGTGCCAGACCCGCGGGGGTCGGTGTGTTCTGACATAAATAAATAATAATAAAACAGCTGCCCCCTCCCCCTTGCCCAAAAGGATGATTGGAAATGGAGAACCGAGGATCCACAAAGGAAAAGTCTGTTCATTTTTTTCTATAAAGGAGAAAGTCAGCCAAGGAGATATTTTTGGAATGAAAAGTTTGGGGCTTTTTTAAGGAAAGGAAAGACCTGATACGGTGGTGTTTTCTTTTCTTTTTGAATTTCCCACAAGAGGAGAGAGAATTAATAATACATCTGCAAAGAAATTTCGGCAAAGAAAAGTTGACCGCGGCAGAATGAGGCATTGATTGGGGGAGAGAAACCAGCAGAGCACAGTTGGATTTGTGCCGATGTTGACTAAAATTGACGGATAATTGCAGTTGGATTTTTCTTCATCAACCTCCTTTCCCCTCCTTTTTTTTTTTCTTTTTGGTGTCAAGATCATGCATTTTCGCTTGTTCTGTACCACCTGGATTTCCATCTGGATGTTGCTGTGATCAGTCTGAAATACAGTGAGTGATCCTTATTTTCTTATTTATTGGCGAAGAAAAATGTCCATTAATTTAGCATTCCTGGTCCCTTTACCCCTTCAGCCCTTTAGTGTGGCCTTGAGAGACCTGGCCGTTGGGGGCCAGAAAATAGGGAGAAGGTGGCCCACGCGTTTGCTCCATCAGACTGCTCCCTGATAAGCTGGTTTGCTATAATGATGTAGGTTGTCTGCATCCTGGGGAAATGCCTTTGCAAATGTTCATCAGGAAAAAAAAAAAAATCATCTCCCTAAGAAAGCGCTGCAGTGTGGGGTGCCTGTGCTGTGTGACTGACACTCTAGAATGCCTTCAAGTTGCATGGCAGCCCCGAATTAGATTCACAAGTGTTTAGCCATTGGAAATCGAAGGGACCCAATTTCAATTTCATTATCCAACCTGACATTGCAGATCAACAGAATGTATTAACACAAAAATATGATAATAAGCCAGGCAGATGAAGGATGGCTTCTGGCTAGTGGGTGGGTTGAGGGAGGGAGAGTGGGATGGGGGGAGGAAGTGGCGGAG